TGGGGTAGCCGTGGGCTCGGCTGTGGGACACGTCGTGGGCAGCGCCCTGACCGGAGCCTTCAGCGGGGGAAGTTCGGAGCCGGCCCAGCCTGCGGCCCAGCAGGTGAGCAGCCAGGAGAAACTGAGGCAGGGTCCTCTCAGGGTCACATAGGGAGCTGCTGAAGTGTCCCTTGGGGAGTGTCTGGACACTTAAGTGTTGCCCCCGGCTCTGGACTTTGCTCAAGGAGGGTCCCACTCTTCCCTCTGGAATGGGCAGTGGATGACCATGTTCCCTGATAACACGTCCCCCCACTGGGGGCCCCACTCTTCCATATTAGCCCTGAGCCAAATGCGGCTTAGTGGCTGGGTCAGGAGTCAGGAAGATCAGTCTGGCTGAGCCAGGAAGATGCTAGAACTAGTGGGGGTAGGGCTCAGATGCTTAAGAGTCCATGCACTCTGGGCTTTTCTAGAACCTTCTCCACCCTCCCCTGCACCTGCCCACCTGAGGGCTGGTGATCCGTGCTATTTCAAGATGGCACATCTGAGGCTAGACAGGAGCAGGCTGGCCTTGGGTCACTCAGCCTGCCTCGGACCTGGAGGCTGGGGGAGGGACAGGCAGCTCCCAGCCCTCTGGAATCTACCTTTGGGTGCCAACCCTGAGCTGAGCCTGTGACCTCTTGCACCACACCCCCAGGCACCAGCCCGCGCTGCCCCCCAGCCCCTGCAGCTGGGGCCCTGCGCCTACGAGATCAGGCAGTTCCTGGACTGCTCGACCACTCAGAGCGACCTGTCACTGTGTGAGGGCTTCAGCGAGGCCCTGAAGCAGTGCAAGTATAACCACGGTGAGCAGGCGGGCCCTGAGCCAGGTGGGGAGTGGGGGGGTCCATCTCCTTGCACCTGCCGGCTGACCTCCAGCCTGTGCTCTTCCCCCCCCACAGGTCTGACCTCCCTGCCCTGAAGAGACAGGTGTGAGCTCATGAGTCCCCTCTGAGGCCACAGCCCCGTCCCCCCCTCACCGACAGCTGGACCACGAGCCAGATTGTACCCGTGTAGCCGGGATTAGGAGTATGGAGGGGGTCTTCCACCCCACAGATAACCCGAGATACAAACGTGCAATTAAAAAGAGTATATTTTAGACCAAAGCCTATGGTGTGCACCCTGGTTAATGAAGTGGGGTCAGGGGAGATCGATGGGTCACTGGGCTTTGGGAAGGCTCACCTTAGGTGGGTGTCCCGGGTGAGGTGGAGGGAGCCCTGTTTAATCCTTGGGCTGGCCAAGGTAGGGGTGAAATACAAGCAGGTACCCTGAGGTACCAGGCTCTGGGGACTGGAATCTGGGAGAAGCCTCTCATTGGCCCCTCTCAGGGACCCCTGCCCCTCCTACCCTCTCCGTCTCTGCTCCTGGATCCCTCCCTCTGCACCCACACCTTCCTGGCCCCCACAGTCTTCTGTCCTATCTGACCTTGCCTCTCTTGCTGATGCAACCGCTCTGTACGTAATTCCTGATTTTGCAAGAGGTACAAGAGGAATCTCGTTGGCCTGCTGGCCTTTTTTTTTTTTTTTTTTTTTTTTGGGAGATTTTTTGCTAGGGCACGTGCGCTCACCAGACAGAGAGACAGAAAGCCAGAAATCACCCCTCACGGGGGATGGCCATGCCACAATCCCTTCTCCATTCTCCTCTCGGGATCTTGGGCACGCACGCACACATGGCTGGCATGAGTTTAAGCCACCAGGTCTGGGACTTGAGCCACGGTCGACTACATGGGAGTTCAGCGATGTAGCCATTATGCTAACTGCTGGCTCCATGGCCTTTTTTTTTTTTAATTATTTTTATTTCTCTTTATTTATTTACTTATCTTAATTTGACCAGAAAAGGATAGAGAGAAAGAGAGGGAAAGCGAGAAAGCAAGTTGCCAGGTCTGAGACTCGAACCATGGTTGGCCATGTGGGAGTCCAGCGCCTTTAACCATTAGCCATTACACCACCTGCCGGCCCCAAGCCTGCTGGCCTTTTGCTCCTAATTATGCAAAGCAGAGGTCACGGCCAGTCCCTTGGGGTCTGAGTCCAGCTTGGCCACTTGGCCACCGTGTGCCAGGTCATGGCACCGATGGGAACCGAGGACAGGCCTGGAAAGCCTGGCGTGGTTGGTGCCATCGCCAGCTGTGCCTCCTTTGTGCCGGACAAGCTCGTTGAGCAGCTGTGTGTGAGCACCTGGCGAGTGGCAGGCCCTGCTCCACATCTCCGTGGGGGCGCTGGTGCTCCAGCATGATGGGGGTGTCTGCAAGGACAGTGTGTTCCATTTCGAGGGTATGCATGTATTGAGATGGTATTGTGGGTCTATCTCTCTCAGTGTGCATACATATCTGTCCCCAACGAAGCAGTCCCACTTTTTTTTAAAAAGAGGTTTTAACCTTAGGGTGCATGTGCTCACCAGGGAGAGAGACAGAGACGGTGAGAGGGAAGGTGAGAAATCACCCCCTGGAGGGATAACCACACCACATTCCTTTCTCCAGTCTCCTCCTGGGATCTTGGGCGCGCACGTACACGGCGTGATTTTCAATCTACCAGGTCCAGGACTTGAACCGTGGTGTCGGCCATGTGGGAGTCCAGTGATGCAATCAGTATGCCACCTGCTGGCCCTGGGGTCCCACTTCTTGGTGTCCATGTCTCCTCTGTACCTGGCTCCTGGCCCCAGTTAGCGGGTCCTGGACAGCAGAGAGCCCACCCTTCGGGGCCTTGAAGAAGGTTCTTGTTCCCGGTGGCCACGCCGAGTACCTGTGCGTCTCTTCCGGCCGTTGCCCGGCAGGGGGTGGCCTGACAGCCAGCGCAGCTCCTCTGGAAGGCCCAGGAAGCCCTGCTGGTGGGCACTGCGAGAGGATGTCCCTTCTCCTGCCCCCAGCTCTACCCTGACTCTCACCTGCCAGCTCTGGACACTGGTCATCCAGGTTCTCCAAGAGGGACACATAGCGGGTAGGGGCCCCGTCCTCCCCACCTGTGGAATGTGGAGAGGACAAAGGACTCCCGACTGCCCCCGACCCTGCCTCTCACTCTGGACCTATTTAGTGGCCCAGGACGGGACATTGGATAGGGCTAGGTTGGGGCTGGGTCCCAGCCACGGTGAAGGACTGGCAGGATTTTGGGTGGTCTGTGATCTGCTGCCCACCCCCCCCCTTACATTCCAACACAGCAAAGGAGGTCTGGGACCACTTACTGATGACCTGCACAAGGACATAGGTGGCTCTCTCCTGCAGCAGCGGACTGCCCACGGAGGGGGCTGCAGAAGTCCCCTCCTCCAGGCCCTCGCTCAGGTTCACCAGGTTCCCGTCCTCAGCCAGGAGAGCTATGGTAGCTGGAAATGCAAATAGAGGCTGGGCAGGCCTGGCAGCCCTGCTGGGGGGTCTCAATGCAACCTTCCCAGCCTCTCTGTCTCCTCACCATCTGGGGGGACCTGCCCCCTCTGCTTCAGGTGGGCAGTGAGGGTCACCAGGCTGCACCAGGGGTTCACCAGCTCCCAGCAGCCTGCTGTGAGGGATCACCGGTTGAGTATGTGGGTTCCCCTACAACGTTTCCCTAGCCGCCCCCTCCAAACCTGCGACCCACTGTTTCCCCCTCCCAGAGCTCGACTAGGGTATAGGAATGGCCACTTGCTCAAAACTGCTTTGGAGACTCCTCGATCCATCCATCGGTCGGGGAACTGGGGCGCAGCGCACAAACCTCGCACACCAGCTCCGGCCCCGCCTCCCGCCCGGGCCCCGCCTCCCGCCCGAGGAGGCCCCGCCCCGGCCCGTAGGCCCGCCTTCGGGGCGGGGAATCTGCAGGTGGCTGGAGCTTCAGGTGTGATGCACGCTGAAACCTGAGGCCCACTGACCGAATGGCGAAGACACGGTGCTGTTTGAACACGTGCCTACGTGGCGTGGCGTGGCGGGTGCTTGCCAAAGGGACACAGCCTGAGCATTGCTCTCACGGGACTCGATCCAGTTCGCTCACTCGCTCGGCCTCCTCAGAGCCGCAACCCCTGCAGAGACCCAATCCTACACCCCACGCCCAACTGCACCCCTCCTTCCCGCTGCTGCCTCTCCATCCTCCCTCAGGTCAGAGGGAAGCAGGTCTCTGAGGGTGCCCTCCCCCTCTGGGCGGCCGGGCAGGGGGGACCCCACTTACCTCCAAACATCACCCTGATAAACATGGCTGCAGAGGGAGGAGGCAGACGTGGGTGGTTTTGATCCCCCAATCTCCGACTTACTGCAGGGGTCTGGGCTGCTGAGAATGACCTGGGGTGGGGCCCTGTGGGGAGTTACGTGTGCATGAGGCTGGCCAGTGGGTGGTCCCGGGCCTTGGGGTCTGCTCAGCCCCCTTGTGGCCGGCTCCACCAGCCCAGAACAGCCCTCGCAGCTAGTCCGGGACCCCTGGCCTCTGCCTCCCGCCGCTCCCTGCGCGAGAGCAGCTTCTAGCTGGTCTCCTTGGCAGTGGGAGCCGCCTAGACATCTAGGCAGGAAATGCCTTCTCCCCAGTATCCCGGTAACGGGATCTGGGGGGCGGGCATTCCCTAAGGCGGGGCTCTGACCAGCCCACAGTGGGTCCAGAGATGCCCTAGTGACAGGCCACATGCCACCCCAAAGGAGAGGCAGGGCTTCCAGGAGGGAAGGGGTGCAGGGTGGAGGGGTCTCCTCAAGCCCTACAGGCTCCCCTCCCCCTGCCTCCCTGAGCTATTACCCTTTCCGCCTTCCTTCTTGCTCTCAGCCACCCCCTCTTTTTTCCTTCTGTCTTGTTTCTCTTTCTTTTTTTTTTTTTTCTTTTTTACCAGTATGTCTGATAACAGGAGAATGGATAAACTAGTTGTGGTAGTATTTCTTTTTTTTTAATTTTTTTTTTAATTTAACTTTATTTATTTATTTAAATTAGACCAGAGAGGGACAGAGAGGGAGAAAGTTGACAGGTCCGGGATTTGAACTGCAGTTGGCCATGTGGGAGTCCAGCATCCTTAACCACCACACCACCTGCTGG